CTATTTTTTGTTTCAAAAAAACCTATTTATAATAGCCATAAAATACAATTAAAACAGAGTTCTAATAGGTTTAATATAGGATTTGTATATGTGATAGCAATATGATAGGGTTGAAAATAAAATAGCTTTTCTACAGGAATAAAATAGAAAGTAAAATAGGGATAAAATAGGGTTAAAATAGTGTTGATTTTCGTAAGGGATGACAACGTTACTAAAAGTATATCACGAAAAACGTCTATACGTGGCCTATAGATGCCTTGCACAATTGAGCATAGAAGCCTTTACGCATCTATAGAGCCCTATAATTGTCCTTGACGACGCGTAAATTACAAAATGGGCAGTTATGTCGGTTTGAAAGCGATGCAACTAAATTACATGATGAGTATAATATAGGCTATTGTATTGCTGTCTTTTCTGACAGTTCTTAACGCTTTAAAGTGAATTAGAAAATGATGTAGTTATACTCGCTTGCGCGATACTAAAATATATTCGTCGTTTTGTTCTGTTTATAGTTTTTAGTCGTCGCATAATTGAGCGCATCGGAGGCGCTGTATGCACCGTACCGCACTCCGCAGGCTCTTATTACAGTCCATGAATGTATATATGTTCAGTTCCGTGCTCAGTATATATAGCAACACAACACTGTACGTGTCAAACATTTTTATATATTATATTTTCGAGGAGTTTGAAATATATTTTGTACTTTATATTGAAATTTGCATTTTGTAATTGGGAGTTAAATTCGTTTGAAAACTCTGCAAAGATTACGCACATGATCTTCCTAGTGTTTTACTTTAGACTGAGATGCCTGCTGTTTTCTATTTGTCATTGTAGTTTCCGGCCGAATTTGAAGCAGTAAAAGGTAATAATGCAATGAATTGCTACATTCAGTTATATAAAGTGCGCACAAGATTAAAACAAGAACCCTGCTGGCTTATGCATGTATTTGTCATTGACATATGGCTGCGTTACAGCCCGCTAGTGCATGTTATAACTGTTATAATTTATAGTTTCCTGCCCGGAAATGCCTAAAATGTCAAAGCGAATATAAACATGTATACATATGAATTATGAAACGTATAAATACACAATTTTTGACGTTGTCCAAGATTGTATAGTAATGTGTTGACGCGTTTGCTACTGCAGTTTACTATATACGAAGCCGGCGTGTTTTTGAAAGAACGAGACAACACTATATATGTACAATTAGCCATAATGCTTTTGTCGTTGGTCTTGTATCGGTTTTATTGATATATACGTGGTTTTGAAAAAACGAAGCAACACTATATACGCACAATTAGCCATAACGCTTTTGTCGTTAGTCTGGTAGGTTTTATATATATATATATATATATATATATATATATATATATATATATATATATATATATATATATATATATATATATACAATTATCCATAACGCTTTTGTTGTTGGTCTGGTAGGTTTTATTGATATATACGTGGTTTTGACTGAACGAGGCAACACTATATATGTACAATTAGCCATAACGCTTTTGCCGTTGGTCTGGTAGGTTTTATTGATATATACGTGGTTTTTAAAGAACGAGGCAACACTATATTTACAGAAGTAGGTTAAAAATTAACACCCCCCCTCCCATTAAACCATCTTCACCATCTTACACCATCTTCACCACCTGACAACAGCTGTTCAGCTGAACCATCCGACACCACACTACAAGCGTCTGACAAACAAAGTATCTGACACCATCTTACACCATCTTCACCACCTGACAACCGATGGCTATATTGGACATATATGTTTTGTTCCAGGTCAAATGTCAATAACGTATATACTATAAGCTATAGTTTATGCAAATTGAGCATATTAATATCACATATACAGTTTTAAAAGACAACCAATGAACCAAATGCAAGTCAAAGTGGAGCTTTTAGCAGTTCGGGAGAAAGCCCTGCGTACAAGTTAATGAGATGTTCTTTGTCGCATTTGAGCAACATTTTACGCTCGATTGACATTGAAAGCAATGATTCAAGTCTCTCCTGAACCATGGATGAGCGAATGCGAGTTTTCACTCTCTTGAGTGCAGAAAACGAACGCTCTGCAGTCGACGAACTATCTGGGATGGCCACAGCAATAGCAAAAACGCGACAGAGAGTTGGATACGCATCAATCAAACTATAATCTGGGTTACACGGGAGTGAAAGAGCTTCAGAGAAAGATGGATCTTTTTACTTCGTTTGTTTTTCAGCTTTCTTGCAGCCGCTGTCGCTCTGCTCATTATCTGACGTGCATGAGATTTTGTCGTCATCCTCATCATCATCATCATAACCATCGTTGTCCTCGCCGTCATCTTCATCATAGTCATCGTCTCCCTCGTCGTCTTCGCCGTCATCATCATCTTCTTGCTGCCAGACAGTTGTACAGTCTAATTTTAAAACGAACGAGCAAAATTGAGCAATTCGTCAGCACATCTAAACGCATCTATATTGTACGTTTCACAAAAAGTGTTAAGGCACGATTGGAGATCATGTGCGGTTTTGAAATTTTTCACAAGTTGTGGGAAACGGCTTGGAGCAAACAACGAAAAAGCTTGGAGCAAGGGTTGGTTTTTATCCAACCGATTCTTCAATGAATTTAAGATCGTGTCCACAGAAACGTAAAATGTGTTACGTTTCCAGTGATCTTCTGGTGTTTCAGCAGGTTCGTCTTCGGCATTTTCATCATCCATTCGTCTTCGACATCTGATTCTTGATTGTTCCCATGTCACGCTGGGAGAGTTATGTTTTTGCTCGACGTATCTGACAATTCGCTCCGGTTCTTTGCGCAATTCATTGAGCTCGTCAATCGCGCTTTCGACCATACCCAGGGTTTTTCCAAAATCAACATCAACGCGTTGTAAATATCGGCTTAGCGGACCAGTGGATGCAAATATTTCTCGAAAGAGGTATGCGGTAGCCAGAAACTGCTTTCTTTGAATCTGCTTCAATAAGCCAATGCTCATTTTCCGTGGGTTTCCATCAATTAAACTGTCCAACGCAACGGTTTCCAGGACACTTAAAATGCAGTCATAACGAGAGAGAAGGACCTTTAGACACAACTCGCGTGAATGCCAACGAACAGTATTAAGTCTCTTTAGGGAAAGGACTTTCAGGTTCTCTTCCAGTTGGACAGCTTCGAACAAATCATGGATTCTTTGTGTCTTGCTAAAGAGAACGTACAAGGCTTCGAGGTCATTGAAGAGGCTTATTACTTGAACATCAACACTTGCAGAGTCGGACAAAACAAGATTAAGCGTATGTGCATAACAGTGGACAAAAGCGACATGCTTTCCAACTTTCTCCTTGATGATCGCTTGCAAGCCGTTGTAGCATCCGCTCATATTCGAAGCGCCGTCGTATGTTTGTGCTACGAGTTTACCAAACGACACACCTTTCGAGACAAGTGTTTCTGAGATTAGATTGTATAGTTCCATTGCTTTTGTACCGGAAGCTCTTTTGCAAGACAAAAGGTGCTCGGAGCATTTGCCATTACGATTAACGATCCTTGCGCAAATACTAAGCTGCTCGTGGTGACTGACATCCGGTGTGGTGTCGGCTATTAATGCCCATGCTCTGCAATTACCGATTTCTTTGACAATTTGCGAGGCGATTTCTCTTCCAATGAAGTCGATCACATTATTCTGCGTATCGTTGCTAGGAAAGTTAGTTTCGAACCCTGTCCTTTGGCACATTTTTTCCCGCCCTTTCTTCTCGACATAGCTTGTTGATTTCTAACCTTTTCAAGATGATTCACAGTTGTTATATCGTAGGTTGAAAGGTAATTCAGCGACTCTAGAAAATTTCATTTATTTGCTTCCTGGTCATCAATTAGCGACTCTTGATGCCCTCTGAAAGCAAGTCTCTGCTTTCCCAAATGTACAACAGTGTCGACAATGCGTTCCATAGTACTGTGGTTTGCCACGACTTCTCTTTTCCGACGCAAAATTTCGGGCTTTTCTTGTTGCTTCAAGCATGAACGATTGATCGTCCTTGCAAAAAGACAACTTGAGCAATCTTGGCATTTATATGACTTTCGGACTTTTCGTGCTTTGTGATATTACTGTACTGTTTCTTCCAGTTCGAGTACCCAGCATTCATAAAAGCATTTCCTTGGTTGTGGCGCGTGTTTTCGCCTCTTAAACATTCGTCTGAAACTAAATAGGAGACATGGGATGCAGAATAGACAATCCTTACTTAGCGAGTATGAAAGCCATTTGATCCTAGTTTGATCTTCGTGAAAGAATACCGCCTGCGAGCAGTACCGGTTACGTTCTCCAATTTTCTTTTTTCTCTCAGATAAAACGGATTCGGGTGGCTGACATGGTTCTTTTTTACAAAGCTTTTCTTTATCCTCTATTCCCGGCGAACTTCATGCCAACAAGTAACGCGGGATCATTGGCTTCATTCCCTCCATCATTTACAAAAGCTATCGGATTTCTCCGGAGCATCCACTGTTCAATGATGATTGTGCCTTCTTCGCCCCGATTCGGTATTGATATATTCAAAGCTTCGTTAAGAACTGGATGTCCGGTTTCAAAGTCAGTAATTCTATCGCGAAATCTGCTGTTATTAAATTCGGCAGATGAATCAGGATCGAACTCAGATGCAGTTGCTACACCAGGCACTGCAGATTCTTGCACGTCCATCTCGTCGTCCCGAGCATTCCCTTCACTAACTTCGCGTCCGCTAGAACTCTGGAAGACTTACAGGATCTTGACCCACTTCGATCTCATCTTCTACGTCGTTTTTGTCATCCACATCATATGGCTTGTCTGGGCTTGCATTTTCTATACCATCTTTTACATCTTTGCTTTCACTTAGTCTTTTTGTCTCCTGCAACTTTTAGAGCATCTTGGTCATTACTGAAAGCATCGTCTCCATATGATGATTTGCTTGATTTTGTGAAATAGCTTTTCATGGACGATCCAAGTTTTTCATTTTCTTCCCTCCTTGCTTTCCTTGCCTTTTTGTTCTCTGCGCCCGCTTTTTTCCGTTTTTGGCTTTTGTTGGTGGTTTCCATTCTAACTGTTGCGTGCTAGTCGTGGATTGAATAATATATTTCATATTATTGCAATAATATCATGGGTCTTGATTACAATTCGACTGGGCTTTGTAATCATTTATTTAAACCAGAGTAGCGAGCGAAACATGAATATCATGCAGGTTGCAATTAATATACGGCCCACAATATCAAGATTTTTACTAGCTTTCAAAAGTAAAATGTGCTAAAAAAAGTTTAATTTAAAGGGAAATGGCAATTTATTTTTTTGGTTTTAACACAGATTTCTGATATCATGACTCCTGATGGATGATAGCATGATATTAATTATAAAATAACTTTATTCATATCTTATAACTCATCTTGTTTTATTACGAACACCGTAACAAGAGGCTTATTGAGGAAATTTAGTTTTCTAAATGTATTTATTTAAACAATATACTGAGAATGTACGTTAAGTATACTGACCAATTTATCTGTCTTAATAGGGCGGGGGTTAACCCAAACTTTAAGCCGTTCATTCAGATAGCCATAACACATCAGGTTTTACTCTAAACCATGACAAACTATATATCATATGAAAGCTAATGAAACATAGATTCTGAAAATATAATTTATATTATCAATAATTACATTGTAACCCGACACCGGCTACCACATGCTGTGAGTTCCCCATCTTCCTTTGAGAAAAGATTTAAGATTGGGTATTGCATTAAATTACTTATTTTTTGTGACATATGAAAGATTACAAGTGGTTTTCTTGGATAGGCATAGAACTTTTTTATATTATAAAAGGAATTGACACAGTGGTTGGTCAAAGTTCGTGAACAAGAAAGTGGTCACGTTTTGATTCATAACTTCCCTCAAATTAGACATTTCAAAAATCTCTATGCTTATCCAAGAAAGCTCTCTTAGAGCAACAATTCCTGAAAATTTCATAACAATCGAGCAAATACTAGTCGAGTTATCTTTTCTCAACTGCGAAAAACAGGTATTTGGAGAAAATCAGCTTTAAAATTTGCCATGTCTTAAAAAGTGCAATAGTAAATATTTGGACTGTGCAAGTCATTATTTTATGCACTAAATGAAACAGGGGGTTGTTTCAAGGGGATTGTTTCATTGACTCCCTCAGCTTCATGAAGAGCCTCTTCCCTTTGTATCGACAGGAAGGCGTGTCATTCGCGACGTTTCGTTTGCTTCTGGTTGGCATGAAAATCAGATTTTCTTAACCTCTTCTTGTCACGTACAAAGGAATTATGCCTTGTATGGTGACCAGCAGGTATGAAAAGTCCCTCCATAATCATTTCTCTGCTTGCAGCACCACTACGGAAATGACAAAAAGCTGAGGCAATAGTACAGTGAACAGTGTGGACGCTGTGAGGTTTATGCTTTGGACATCAAGCCGATACGGGTTGATACCAGGGGTTCAGGCATTCATTTGTGTTTTGAAGTTGTGCCATGTACCCATCTCTCATGCAACTTTGTATCACTCACTCAGTTATACAAAAGTTGGCTTTAGCTCTTCTTGTTTACCTAAAAGTTCAAGGCAAAATCTTATTGGTTGAGGTGCAGGTTCGACATAGCAGCCCAAGGCATATATCAAAGGTGCACATAATTTATATAATAAATAAACAAAGCAAAAATAGCTGATAAAACTTACAATATGTAAGAACTTCATTTTATCACTTATACAATGCCAAGATAACAAACAAATATAATATTTGGGTGATAGGGCAAACTGGCAAAGCCAATTTAAAAACAAATCATCACTAAATACCTTCATCGCAAACATGAATTTCAGAGAACACAGAGGCTGAATGTTTTACATTTACCAGCCTATATCCATCTTCATCATTGCCGGACAGACCTGGAAAGACATCAGCCAACTCTGTAGCTCTAGCATCGTTTTGTAGTTTCATCGTCTTCCCCAAAGAGCTATTCACATTTATACACACGCAGGTTCATCATCACGATGTCTCAGCCGTATCCTCGATGCTTTGCTCTCCTCTTTCGCTTTATTGTTACCCTTTGTATCCCAGAGAAACCTTTTCCTTTCCTAGTCATCTTTATGTAGTGTTTTTTTCCTTTTTACCCAATCATCTTCAACTAAAATATGGCTTTTTCCTCAACACAAGCACAGAATACTACACAAATTTTCCAATTTTGTCACGCACAAAACTTTAAATCAAACCTTTTTGTCAGCGGTTCGATGCTTTGTGACGAACAGACTTTATGTTAGCTTCCTATGATGGCATACTCTCATCTCCTGGGAAACTGGGCTCAGTTTGACGAAGAAAACAAGGTAACAACAAAAAATGCTACCTCACGTTTCCATAGCAACCAGATAATTTTAAATGGCGAGTCTTTTAAAAGCCGCATTAAACACGGAAAAAATTCAAATGAAAGCAAACAACATGTGGCTATGCTAAATCTAATGTTTGAATTACCTTTTTCTCTTAAAAAATTTTTTTTCAAAAATTTTTAAATTTTCGGTTAACCCCCGCCTTTTAAAACACAGTCACACAGCTAAGCACTGAAGCAACAGTCCAGCAATCCTTGCCTCCTTGGCGTGAAAAGGGCCAGACGATTGTCTCACTGGTACATATAAAACGTTCTTCTCGAGTCTTGAATATAATAACTTTAACACATGTTTCTATTTCAGCGAGCCGCCCTTATATAGTGTTTCGTCTAAAGCTATTTTAGATCGTTATATAATGTCTATAATCAGAAATTACTTGTTATGCTATTTATAGCTCAAGCTTATGGAAGCGTGAAGCTTACGCAAGCATGACAAAGCACTAGCAGTCTAATGTAACATATCAAATATCAAAAGTCTGGAATGTTCTGATGTGTTGGGTTTCAACGTCACAATTTTAATAATCACAAAATATATAAACTTAATAGATCATACTAATCCGGAGTTAATAATAATAATAATAATAATAATAATATATCATATCATAATAATATTTATCACTTATTTACTGAGACCGAGGGAAACAGTGTGTTTTGTGGACCCGAGACCGTCGATGTTTCCCGAGGCGAAGCCGAGGGAAACATCGACGTTCGAGGGTCCACAAAACACACTGCTTTCCCGAGGTCTCAGTAAATAAGTGTTTTATTATATATCAATAGTCAAAGAAACAACAAATTAAAGAATAAATGAACGTAAATACATGAAATATTTTATTGTTAAAACATCACATTTAAACACTGGCTACACTGCAGTTACTTGAAGCGAAAGTTTTAATTACGTACGAGGATTGTCCAAAGGTCGCATCTTCACGTGACGGCGCACGTGAATTTTTTTGTTATTCGCCGGTCGATAACGTATTATCTCCCTCTCGCGCTGTTGCGAGGGAGACAGCCTAATTTCGTCACTCTCACATGATATGCTCGCAACCAATAAAACTCTAGAAAAATGCGACTTTGACTATTGATATATAATAAATCATATTATATCATAATAGGGAGTAATAGATCATACTAAAATAGATCATGCTAATCCGGAGGCACTTCTTGGCAATTTTAGCGCCCCATTGGCATTTCGGCGCCCCTCTTGAGAGCACCGCTGGGGAGGGGGGCATGCCCCCCCCCCCCAGCCACCACGCCACTGAATTGAAATGTCAATTGTTGCATATTTACTATGGCCTGCGCTACATTCTTTCAATAAACTTTTTACAATAGATGGATAGCGATTCAACTGCCTGGAAATACAAGCAAAACGCCGTCGGCATTTTATGGCACCACTGGTAGGTTGTGCAGAGCCCAGAGTAAAACTTTTCCAAAGAAAGCATATGACATCATTAAGTTTTCCCAGGGGTCCCTATGACATCATAATTATTAAATGGGAGAAGAGGTGTTTTACAACATATTACACTTTACTGCCATATTATCTGGCACTGACACAACTTTTTGTGCTTTGGAGGCCCCTTCTGAGCTGGGCTTTTGCCTGCATCCCTATACTTTCGGCAGTCCTGAAATTGTTAAAGACGTATGAAGTTATTATGATAGTTTACTAATAAACCTAAAATTTCGTTTTAGTAGTCTTATTCTGAAAAAGTAAAGCTAGTTGTTTTTGTTGACCATTTGACTTCAAATACAATTGTTACTTGTTGCACACTAAGTTGGCCATTACAAGAATGAACATCTGATATTTATATATAGTACTACCTGAAAAAAAACAAGCAGAAATTTGACATTTCAAGCGAAGGCCGTTCGTCAAGAGTTAGTAGCCAATGTTGAGTTTCTGCTTGTTTTTTTCTTTCAGGTAGTATTACTATATCAGCACACCAAGACTGTGGAATAGTTGACAATCATTTATTTACCAAATTTTAGTGGAACCATTGTATAAATTGTGTAGACGATTTCATATTATTACATACTGTACGTAGTACATACTGCTATTGTTAAAGACCATGTTAAAACTGTTCTGCGCTTGCGTTCTGCAGGCCCACATTGCAATGGTCGGGACCCGACCATTGGAATGTTGTTAATACTTTGTACCTTCCTAACTTTCTTGAATTGAATATCTAGTCTGTATTCATTTACAAGCATAGTGAACCAGAAATTAGTTAAAAATTTAGTATAATATATATCTAATAATTTACAACTTTTGCACTGGGTTCAGAATGTCTGAAAGAAATGATTTGACGGTTTGTTTACATTACATACTTTACATGGCCTTTAATGAAACCTTTTTTGGCTACTAACACCAACTTTCTGACAGAGTTGTACAGGTAATACTGCAAACAGAAACAATATATTATACCATCAAACAATTCTATCAAACATTCAAACGAGTTGACAAGTTGCAAAAGAATCCAAACGGCTGTTTAATTGTTGCATTCACACCATGATGATTCATACATTACAGTTCAATTAAAAAATCCCAAATTTTGTACAAACACAGTCGTAGCGCACGTGTACGCTTGTAAGTCTTGTACGCTTGAATTGGTTTTCAATAATAACACTACAATATAGTAGAACAATGATGACATATGCCATCATTCCCATCAAGACAATACTCACTCAGAGTGACTACCAAGAGTATGAATTATTACCATAACGAAGCCTGTTATTTTGACCAAATGAATTCAAGTATGCATAAATCAACTCCTTAATCCCTTCACCACTTTTTCGGACGAAAAGCAACAAAAATCGTCAAAATAAGCAAATTTTCAGGCCAAATAAAGCAAAATATATCGTATTCACTCATATTGGCCGTGCTCGTGAACGCCACAGGGGGTATGGGTCCAATAACTTATGTATATATATATTATGTATATATATATTATGTAATATATATATTATGTAATATATATATATTATGTAATATATATATTATGTAATATATATATATATATATATATATATATATTATATATATATTTTACTTTGCAAATAATGTGTAATAATCCATCTTTATATGTTCTCTAATTATATTATGTTATTTTATGTCCTGGGAAGTGATTCAGCCAAAAAAATCTGTCCAACCCACATTTTCCCATTTTTGGCTCGACACCTTGTTTGACAAATGTCGCCAAACGTCCGGATACCGATGAATTTTCAGAAAATTTTTTTCGCAGTCATGACGGCAGAGGAATAATATTAAAAATCATGAAAGCACAGGCAAATGGGATCATTTTTTCAGGAATGACGAATAAATATTTATAGGGATGCGCTCATTGTGCGCACCCCTAGTACAAATACGGTTAAAACAATTTCATCTAGAAAGCGCGGATCTAGATAGCGCTTACATCAAGAAAGTTTCGTTTGAATGCGGCAAGTAGAAATATTTATTTTGAATTTTTCAGAAAATCGGGTTTTACTCGCACGCGCTGTATACTTGGCCAATAGTGAGTTTAAGATATCCCGGTTTCGGTGTACGGGTTCGAGTAGAGTCACCTTGTTTACTACAATACTAGTTTTTACTGATGTCTGTAAATTCGATCATACTTTTTTTGCTTTCTTGCAATAGACAATGATATAATGCGAAAAATGTGCACCTTAATTACGAGTAAAGGTACAGACATCGACGAAAATATTGCTTACCAAAATCATGCTATACCCGACGTATACCCGTACACTGAAACCGGGGTATCTTAAACTCACTAATATAAGGAACTCTCGTTGCCGGATTACGTAAAAAATCACGCTATGCACTTTGACCTTTAGAATCGATTTCTGGCATTTCTAGAGCCATAGGATACAAATGTCGCAATGTTTTGACGTTCTGAAATTATATTTCCGGATAGGATTAGTTCACACGGCGAGCCAGCAATGGAAATACGTACGTTGATGTTTGGCTAAGAACATTTTTAATTGGCAGAATGCCGAGTTCGTGCTGAAGCTGAATATAGTGACGTTCAAATCTGGCTTTTGTTGACAATATAATTATTGAGTTCATGTTATTGGGTTATAATTACTAATAACGCCAGTTTTCCAGAATTCGAACATACACTTTCAAATGCAGGGTGAGTCAACTTTAAATAATGAATATAAATAATAATATAGTAACTTTATTCATCCCAAAATACCAACACTGTCTCTAAAGGTTTTGGAAGTAGAGCTCGAGAAATTGCTTGAAAATTTTAAAAAAATCAAAGAAATCAAAAGCTGAATTAATTATATTTTAGCGCTGGAGTGTCTCGCAAAATAGAATAAACCTGGTTTACTTCATAAGATTTAACTCACTACAAACTTGTTTCGTATGGGAAGCAATGCTTGCTACACTCATCAGGTGAATTTAAATCAGCACAAATTCAAATGATTTCAATGGATTTAACCTCACCTGATGAGTGTGGCAAGCACTGCCGGGTTGCATACGAAACAAGTTTGTAGTGAATAAAATCTTATGAACTAAACCAGGTTTATTTTATTTTGTCTTTATTAGCTCTATGCTTCGGTATATCTAGGGCTCTACTCATATATGAATCTAAATACATTTCAAAATGAATATATTGATTTCAAAATGAATATATATATATATATATATATATATATATATATATATATATATATATATATATATATATATATAACTTTAAAATAATAAAAAATTAATATATAATAA